AAAAAAAAAAAGGAAAAAGAAAAAAGAAACCCCTTCTTTGCTTTCTTTCCGTACCTCCTGCCCCCCCGACCTGTGGGTTCGTGTGGCTTACCAACCTCCGGCTGCTCCCCCTTTCTTTTTTTGTTCCTCTTATTTCGTTGTAACTCTTGTATGTGTGTGTGTGTGTGCCCCGCCCCTTTCCCATCGGTAGGCAAGTCGGGGGAGGAAGGCCTGACGCCGGGTGGGCATCAGGCCTTCCAGCCCTTTGCCACCCGGTCACCACATCACACTCACAGACACCACAACGCCAGTGTTAGTCACATTTGAAATCGATTCATCATTACACCCTTCACCATGCCATCATTAAGTCTCCCCGGTTGGTACTCCTGCCTGTTCTCAAAAACTCTGCTAACTATCTTCCAACACTCCCTTTTGTTAAAGTCATTCGAGACCATTGCCTGCACAAGCGTATTGATCTCGTTTGCTGCATCGTGTTCCTCGGAACAGATGATCAGTATCTGTACAATCTGGGCGGTTAGAATCTGTAACGACTATGCGACCGACCTATTAGATTTGAATTTTGTGAATCTGACAGGTGTGACAGTCAGACCTCTTTTTTTGTCGTATTTTGTGCTTATATAACTCCCGCCCGTGGTTGACGTGACAGTGAGAGATAGGTTAAGGAAGTTGGCCATCCTACCGTGTCCTTCTTCTGTAACCTCTGTGGTCTCTCTTACCTCTATGTAGTCGTGCGAGTAGATTTTCAATCCCTGGTGTTAGCCTGGGACCCCGTTTCTGAGGAATTCGGCCATGATCGTGTTGTTTAGGGAACATAGATCATCGATATACCTGTACGTATCCTGGAAGCATTCCACCGCCTGCCAATCCTGCCTGTCAAGCAGATGTGTAACAAGCCCGAACTCGTATTTGAAGTAGTACACGTCGCACAGCATGGGTGAACAGGCCAGTCCCATCGGGATACCGAGGACTTGCTTCCAAACGTCGTCGCCCATCTGCACTAATCCGTTCGAAATGAGCCATTCACAAGCGTCTATGATGCCCTGCTCATCAAAGTACAGTTTCTCCCGATCCCTATCTTGGATCGAGCTGACCCAGTCGGGAAACATTGACCCGCGCGCGCTGATGGAGATAGCAACCATGTCCCTTGTCGTCCTCTCCCTCCTCCATTCCATCGCGCATGCCACGAAGAATTTGACAGCCTCAATCAATCCTTCCTCCGAGCCGTCCGTCGGTATCGTCTCGAAGCACCTTGTGATGTCCCCCGTGTATATCGCGTAGACTCGTTCCGGAAGATTGGCCACGAATTCCCCGATGGAGGAGATTGGCCACCAGAAATTAGGTCGGACACCGATTTCCTGCTCCACAAGCTTGCTCTTCTTCACACAGAACGTCTGCACATCGATAGCTAGTAGCTTCAAAATGCAGTCGCAAATCTTCGCCACTGGTGCCAACACCGATCCTGCTGTGTTGGTTATCCATCTGAAGGACTCATTGTGCACCTTGTAGACCGTCATGAGGTGCGGCAGCTGCGTTTTGTCCTCCATGCATGAGTTGGGGGCAAAGGACGAGGCCTCCTGCATGAGCCAAGCTGCAGCCTGCGTAGGTTGCTCTGTTGTTGGTACAAAGTCGGGACCCGAGAGCCGCTTTAGCGCAAATCTTCTGATGAAATTGGTACAGACGAATGTCGGCGTGTGCGGCGCTTTGTCCGTCGGGCAAATGAGGAATGTTCGAGTTAGCCAATCGATCTCGCTTCTGACCGCGACTGCGTTGATCGGCTCCCCCCCGATGTGCATGTGCGTGACGTGATAGTCTCTCAGGCGGCCTCAGACATTTCTGAGGACGATCTTCTTGACCTGCTTCTCCTCTTCCATCGTAAGCTCTGCATCGCATCTGTCAGTGGCTAGGATCTTGTCCACTGCTTCCTCGATTTCCCCCATAGCGAAGTTTTCGTCCAAAGCCCCGAGGGGGATGTGGTTGAGTCCTGCGTTGAGCATTAGCTGCAGCTGCCCATTGTTGGTGATGCCAGTGTCATTGGTGACGACGTGCATGCAACCGTCTTCTAGCAAAAGCTTCATTGTTTCAGTGCTTAGAAAATGTACGTGCCTCCCCTTGCTGCATGGGCAATTATCCGGTTGATAGCCCGCCTCCCATTCGCACATTCTGAATTTCTTGAAGACTTTTCCGGGCCTGCAGAGCTTGGCACCTAGTGAGTCATCATAACGCCATCCTATCACCACGTCCTCGAGCCAATCCGCCGACCTTTCCCCCGCCACCTGCCTAAGCGCATCCAACACTATCCTTCTTAGTGGTACCGCCTCCATGAGTCTGCTTGTGTAGCGGATGTGCACGAATTGCCCTCGCTCCTGCTTCCTCCTTTTCCATGCCACCCTTCCTGAAGGTAGACGGATCAGGCTACCCCCTTGCTCCAGATCGAAGCATCCATCCTGTGCAACTCATTGACGGTATCATGCACCTGTGAATGGTCGTTCGATATCCGGTGGTTCCCTTTGATGGGGGGCTTTTTCGGAAAAAATTCCATTTCGTTATATATGCTCCCCTAAACTTCCTTCCCTTAGAAACTGAAGAAAAAAATTAAAAGATTGATTTTTTTTTTTTTTGAAAAAATGTATAAAAGACATATAAAAAATATAAAATATAAAAAAAACGAAGAATAAAAAATGAAGAAATGAAAGATAAGGAAATTATATATATATATATATATATAAAAAAATAAAGTCTAGGAAAATACAGAAATATCTATACAGGAATGGATCTCAGGACCAAGCTCGCAGATTGGTCATGGAAGAGTTGCGAGGGACAACCAATCCGAGTGAGGACCGACCAAGTTTGGTCGGGTGCGTACGGGCCCTCTTAAGGAGACCCGATGTAGTCCCTTCTGGCCTTCTTGCTGCTGGACGCGCCCTTCCCCCCAGCCCTCCATCTTGTTGATTTAGCAGTGGAGATGGCTGAGCCCATCTGAGATGCAGGTTTGCCGGCGACGCTCATGCTTTGCGTGCTCGGTCCATTCTGTCGTCCTCCGATCGCCATGTTGTGCAGTCCTCTATCCCCTATCAGTTCTGCAGCGGGCGGTCTGCCATCTTCCCTTGGGTTTCTTTGCTCCTCCTCCTCTCGCCTATCTTGGCGGGGCAAATTCCGGGGTTGATTCATCGCGTCCCGCTCCTGTTGTCGAACCTAGGTTCGAAGGGAAGGACCCTCTGTCTCGGCGAGACAACGATCGGAAAATTATTGCGTTGTCTCTTCTTGGCGCTCCCCTGGTTGTTTGGGGAATTACGCGCCCTGACCCTGGGGTTGCCCATGATTCTCGTGGGTAAGAGCACCCTGCCGATCGTGATCGCCGTGTTGTACTTTCAGTTTTCCCTACCGATAACCGATTCAGCAGTGAGATTCGCATCTCTTTCGAGAGCCAGTATGGCGTTGGTCATGAACTGGCGAATGAACATAAAGGTGAGACATGCCTCGATGGCAGGTTTCCATGAGACGCGCAGGAAATGAATGAATGTGGATGTTTTAACCTTGATGGACGCGATGTTGGGAAAGAGAATGTCGAGGTGCGCGAGCAAGTACCAGATCGCGTGATCAATCCTTCTTCCTTTTCGTGGCGCATCTACATCTAAGGTAAAGACGTCCCACATTCCAGCATTTCCTCAGCCCTTTCAGATCGACCTCAGGCGTCGTCTTGATTTTTTTCTGTCACATGACCGGTGTCGTATGCTCACACTTCATGTGATCCAGTGACGACAACAAGGGAAACTTTAGAATGGTCGGGTTAAAAGAGGGTTTGCCAGGTGGGCAGTACGGTAAGGATCCTGTCATCGCGTTTGCTTTGCAGGCAACGACTTCTTCGCTGGTGAGGTTAGCGAGGAACACCAGTGCGTTCACGAAAAAAGGAGCGAGATAGTTAAATGTATCAAGCTTTCATAGGGCGTGTCTGAATCCTATCCCTATGTGCTCTGTCCAGTGTTGCGACGGGAGTGGGGCAAAAGCAGTGTACTGCTTCCCCTGTGAGGAGGGTTTCTCAGGAGAATAGCTAGCGGAAGTGGTTATGGCGGCGATAGCCTCATTCATCTGTGCTAGTTCGTCGTCAAGCCCCAGATTTTCAGGAAAATCTTCTCAGTTAGTGCAGTCCTAGCTGACGATTCCGCGCATTCCCTCCCATAGTCTATCTTTCTCTGTTCGAGCTTCGTCGTCATGTTCCTGAGCCTAGCGTCGAATGCCTCTCTACCCTTGTCCTAGGCGCATGCAAGATTGGCGAGATCGCTAAACCCTATCATAGCGAAGAAGTTGGGGAATCCCCCGGTCTCAATCAGTCCCTTGATTGCTCCCAGCATCTCCGGCTTCTTGTGGCGATGAGGGACTGGGCAGGCTTGCTGGGCCATGCTTGATCCTTAAGCCATTCATATTTGTCGGTGACCTCGTCCCACCAGCCTCCAGGGAAGAACTCCTTTGGAGAGATCTGCAATACGGTGAACACAACGCAGATGACAAAGGGACGAAAACAAGGGCAGAGACTACAGTTGTGAAGCTAAAAAACGAGCGAGAGCAAGAGAACTTACAAAGGGGAAATAAAAGGGTTCGGGATGTTACCTGCTCCAGCCATTCTTCGAAAAACAAACAGTGCAATCTCCCTGAAAATACTGAGCACTCACCTTAACCAAAAACTACGGGTGACTCCTTTGGCAGGAACCCATGCATACCCCGCCCGCGTATCCCCGGGGGTGTGTGGTTGGTGGGACTCACCACCAACAGCGCTAAGCGGGAGGATCCCTCCACGTAGTTGTGTGTTGGAGTACGTCATGAAAAACATGTCGCAACAAGAAACGCTAACACGCCTCTTGATCATGCTCCAATTTAATACATCGGCACAACCCCCTTTAACCTTATCAGGCGAGCACGGGAATTACCCAGCCAATCAACCCGCCCTTTGGAATCTTGCGCGGATCGTTCCTTATTCAGGTAGTTGCAAAAACAGACGACCAAAGGCATTGTCCTTGAGGCGTTCGGTAGTTTAGATCGTAAATCCGTGCTGTGTTTTCGTGATCTGTCTATTGGTATGGTCAACCAGAGGGTACTAGTTGGTGAGGTTGCCTATTCTTCGTCCATCAGATGAACTACCGTCAATGCCCAAATCGTCCTACATGACCTACGGTTCTTACTTTTCTTCAAGAATACTGTAATCAGTAATGTACTCCGAATGAATGGGAATCAATCATAAGTGTACTTATGAAATCATTATATCTGGGTAATAATTATATCAGGGGGCAGTGGAGCAATCAACTGTCCAGGTCGAAGGCCAACTTCCCTAGGTTGTGAAAGCATCCCCCTGGTCATCATATGATTGATTAGTACTGCGTTTTATAAATCAGGAAGTGACTAATTCTGAAGGAATGTTCTAGGCCTACTTGGGAGGAAAAAAACGAACGAGGACGTAGAAGCATGGATAACAAAAAATTAAGGAAAAAATAGAATAAGGAAAAAATAAAAGAAGGGGAAGATTCCAAGGAAGGACTTGTCACTATAGGATTCAGTAATCATCATCGTGTGCATCCATGTAATCCCACAAGCGGTCGTCCGACCGGTGTCGACGTGGAAATCGACAATCCTGGGGCCAGATATTACGTGCGAGGTTGCATGGGCGGAATACACGAAAGGGACGAACGCTTTTTCCGGGGAATAGGCTAAGGGGGCAGGGGGAGAGGAAGGGGGTAAAAGCATGCGCGGCTACAAAGATAACCCTCCAGGACATTTCCCATTTTAATCCCGTACCAAGGTAATTCCATAGGCAGTGGTCCGGTAGATGCCGTCGTGGAGATCGACAACTTTATCCTGGGCAATGCGCATGGGATTCCCTCGGTATGGCAAGCGATCCTATTATAACCGAAAAGTACGAGAAATGCACGAAAAAACTGCACGAAACCAAAAACCCGGGCGAGGACACAACCGATTCATGAAAGTTTGCATACATGCGTGCATCTATCGCTACATCACACGCACTCAGAAAGCCAAACGTTGTGGATGATACCCGTTAACGAGAGTCGGGGATAGAGACGCAAGGTGGGACAGAGAGAGGGGAGATCATTCATTCTAATCCCATACCCATGTAACACCATAGGCCGCAGCCTGGTGGAAACCGACGTGGAAATCAGTGATTTCCTCCCCTGGCAATGCATATGGAATTACATCAGTACGGCGAGTGATCCCGTTACAACTGAAAGGTGTGAGGTCTTATGTACAAGCATTGCATGAAGCAGAGATACAAACAACAACCCAATTGGTCCATGAGAGTGCCATATTACATACATGTGTGCAACATTCATTCAAGAAGCCAATCACTGCGTATGGTACCTGTCAACAAGAGACGGGGATGGAGAGGCGAGCGTGAGAGAAAGAAAGGAGAAGGGGGTAAGGATGTGAACGAAGAAGGGCGGGGGAGAAAGATATCGAGAGAGTGGGCAAGGGGAGAGAGAAAACAGGAAAGGAGGGGGAGGGGGAGGGGAAAGAGAGAGAGAAAACTATGGAAGGCAGGGGAGGGGGAGGAAACGACAAACTTTGGAAAAACGATTCCGTAGAAAAACTTATTAGATGCAAAAAAATTAAAATATCCCAATGGTAGTACGTAGGTCCTGCCTTTCTTTCGGTCAAAGAGGGATGAAGCAATCCACTCTTCCGACTCCTTCTCTGCACAATGCGCAAGCAGCATACCACTCGTAATAGTGACAAACCCGGTTGCATCCCCAGAGGCAGCTCCGCATACTGTGGGAGGCTAGCCACGACAAACAAAAGCAGGGAGGGTAGTGGCGATCCCTGAAGCACTTTTCTACCGCTAGCCACAAATGCACGGCGTCATCAGAGG